TGTAAATCGGTACGATCACCGATTCACACCATTCAGTGGGAACCTGTTCCCTCTTTCACACTGAACCCAGGTATTGGGGAACGCTAGTTCTCTGTAAGCAACAACAATCCTTTTTGAGTTATAGCACAGAATCATACGCAGTAATATTATCTTTAAGTGCGTTGTTCTTCTTCCGGAGTGATTGTCACATCCGAGTACATTCTCTAAATTAACATCTTCGGCCTGGGCAACTTTGCAGTATTCCGCCCACATGCAAATCGTGGAACGTTTTTTCTTTCTCATGGAGATTATTGTACCATGATTTGTTTGGTACAGTCTTGGAGACGTGTGTTAAAATATAGATATTGGTCTGTCACTGGTCTTCTCGAGTGGTGGTATTTTTTATAGTTTCTTATCAGCCCAAAATGTTTAGAGGCATGTATGCATCACAACATCATGTAAACCGTATTGATCACGGACACCCATTTTCCCTTCTTTTCAAAACAATTATACTATCTATAGGATATGGATAAGTTTTGTAATTGATTCTCGCTTTTTATCTGCATGTGATCAGTTAATTCCAGTTTTGTTTTCACATTCACTCTTGTTGTTTCAGATCGTCTCTACTCGTCTGTGGACCGTAACCTAATAGAACTCAAGTTTTCAACATGATAGACGACTCAGAGAGCTATAAACTATGGCGTATACGCAAAACAATCCTAAAGGTATAGCCTTAGACTTTTTATTATTTCCTCTCAGATGTGCAAAGATCGGGGCTATCTTGTCATGCCCAAAGAATTAGAACAAACTTTGGACGAATTCAAGCTGGCTGTTGGGGATCCGCCTAATCGAAAAGATCTGCTGATGGTCGTCAACCACGAAGAAGATCCTGCTGATATGTTATACGTGTTTTTCCCGGATGAGGAGAAAGTGAACACAAAAACCGTTCGCGCCTATTTAAACCAAATGCAGCAAGATAGTACATATCGAGCTATTCTTGTATTGCAAGAAAAAGGACTCACCCCATTTGCAAAGACGGTACTGCGTTCCCGTTACTCTCTAAACGACTGTTCACCTGCAGGCGCTGGCGGAGCTCTCCTGTAAATACACGTTGGAGTGTTTTTTTGAGAACGAACTAATGGTCAATATAACGGAGCATCAGTTGGTTCCACAGCACAATGTTTTAACACAAGAAGAAAAGAAAGAACTCCTCGAACGATAGTGGGTTTTTGTGACATGTCT